GCCTCTTTAGTTGTATGAACTCAGGCACCATTCCAGTGCCTCTGAGCCTCAGTTTCCCCATATGTAGCATGTCAGTAACAATCTGACACAAGCTTCAGTGTTGTCATGACGAAAGCAGGGCCTGTGGAGCCATTTGGAAAATTATTTAGTGATGTAGGAGATTAAGCTCAATGCCCCCAGTTCCCCAAATTCAGAGGTCAATGCCTCTCCCACCTTCTGTGGGGAAGAATCAGCTTTTTATTTTCTTGTGCATTGTAGCCAATACTTGTATTAATTAGGATAAAATGATTTACTAGAAAACTGGAAGGCACCAAAAAAAAAACCAAACTCAAGTGAAATACAAGCCTTACTTTGAAAATATTAGATTCAGCAGACATGATTAGCCTGTCAATGAGCTATCCAAATGTCTAAATGCTCAGTTTTCTATACCTGACCCAAGGTTCCTGGCCTTCAGGCCACACCTGGAATAGCCCTGTCTCAGGGCAGAGGGGGCATAATTCATCTTGTATCCCTAGTTCTTTGCATTTGGAGAGCACCTAAAGGGACTTCAAATGAATAAATGAGAGCCTGTCTCAGCATAAACATAGAACTCCCATCACTGTCATCCTGTGGTCAAGGGACACGGCGCCGCGCGAGGCTGTTCTCTTCGTTTGCACCCGTGGTGCCCATGCTGAACCCTGGCTGCCCTTCTGTTCTGGCTCCCGTCCTTCAGCCTCGGGATTCGTGTTTGCACATCTGTCTCGTGGGCCCCACTGGTAGCTCCTTCGGGCCTGGACGGGGCAGACTGCTCTCTGAATCTGCAGGCCTGGACGAGGTCTCTGCCCTGGGAGCGGCGTGGTAAATGTCCACTGTGCACAGGAGGGTGCCGCACCCTGGCTTCCAGAACAGGTTTCTGCCCTGACTCTGTTGCCCAAGGATCTGGATGCTTAAGCTTGTCTGAGAAATAAACTGCTTTCCTTACACAATTCAGAGAGAAGAGGGATGATGCTCACACTTGCCTGATTCTCAGTATTTTTGGGGTGCTTGTGTTTTTACAGATTCCTGGGCTTTTCTTGATTTACTGAGTCAGGATTTATAGGGGATGGGCCTGAAAGGTTGATATTTAAACAGACATCGTCCGATAATTCTAATCGTCAGGAAATTGGGGAAAGAGGGAACTTACAGGGAATGGTAGCTAGTAACTTGGGAGAGCTGCTTCCTCCTCAGCTCCCAAGGTCCTCATCTATCACATGTGGATATTATTGCGATTGTCACGAAGATTAGGTGAAAGAATGTGCAGGTAGTGCTTAGCAGAATACCTGGCATCGACACTATATATCATTTACAGATTATATATTCAAAATGCATTCGATGAAATGGTTGATACAGTGTATGTCCCACATATCTTTATTGTTGGCAAGTATCTGATTTTCATGAGATTTGTAACTAATTATCATATAGGTAGTTCAAGCTTATAGAAAAATTGTAAGATACAAGTGCACAGAAATGAGAAAATCATTCTCACCTATAATAACCCAGAGATGCAGCTGCTAACATTTTGGAGCATTTCTTTATAGTCTCTGTGTATGCATAGTGCATATATATTACATATGTGATATATTATTTTATATACCCATTGTAATGTACTTAATATACAATTATACATTAAATATTAAGTATATGTTATATATGTATATGTGCATATGTGTATGTAATATATATTAAACATTGTATTATATGTATATATGTATGTATAACATGTATATACCACACGTATATAGTATACTACATATTTAATATAAATATTTTATATACGTATATACACATATGTTTATTTTATATTCAGAAAGTAGGATCATACTGTACCTATTGTTTTGGCTGCTGCGTTTCCTCACTTGACAATAGATCATGACATTTTTTGTGTGTCAATAAGAGTTTGTTGACTTAGGTTTAAATACTGATTCATTCATTTAGTTGATCAATGACCTTGGGCAAGTTATTTAACCTTTCTGGGCCTTGATTTTCCCACTTGTAAAATGGGGCAATAATGGTCCTATATCACTGAGTTGCTATGCAGATTAACTAGATAATTCATAAAAGGTGCATATCGTAGCATTGGCTCAGGAGAACCCCTATCAGCCGATAGCCGCCCGCCTTGGGGACCTGGTGGGGAGGCTGCTGAGTCCAGGGATCCCCATTTGGGAAGTGCTTCTCACTCTGCCCCGTCCAGTTTCACGCTCTGGGCCGTTTTCTGGGTGTTTCACAGCTCAGACTAGCTGTGCTCATTTCCTGAAAGGTGATTCTTGGTTCCTTTGGTTTAAGACCTGGACCTGTGGCTGCCCTCCCCACATGTCTTCCCCACTCCACCTGTGTCCTAAACCCCTCCCTCTCTCCCCCACTGCTAATGCATCGCAGTGTGGACGCCCCTTGATTGTTGTTCCTGGGATGGTAGGTCCAGTCTTAGCGTGACCTTGGAAACTCCTCTCCAGAATCCAAGCACCCCTTTCCACAACTGGTTAGAATGGTGTTTGTGTGTATGTGGGGAGGACTCAGCTTGTCTTCTGCACAGACATTATCGCATATGATGCCTCCGCAGGCCCATTTTACAGATGAGAAAATGGAGGCTCAGGGAGCTGATGTGACTCCCCGAAGCCTCAGAACTGGAATTCAGATACTTACCTCTCCCACAATACACGGAAAGCATCCCAAAATGAGCTGGACCCTCTGCCCTTGGGGGGCCGATGCCCAACATTTGGATTTCCAGTTCAGCGGGGAGGACCCCTGAAACTAGTAAGTACAGCAGCCTGATAAAGAGAGGGAGCCTTGAGGTCCTACCCTGCCTCCCTGGCTTCGTTAGTTCTGTGGATCTGAGCACATGACTAGTAGGCTCAGACTCCCAGCCTCAGCTGACATCATTGTGTGGATTGAAAAATGAACAAACACTTTCAGAGCATTTATCCCACAGCGCCAGGCACACTGCACGCATCTAGTAAACGGTGCCTGCTAGCGTGGCTGCTGTTGGTGAAAATGCTTTATCATAGCTGACAAAGATGCCCCAGCAGACATCACAGAACTGCATGCATCGTGAGCATTTGACCCTGGGATCAAAGGGCAGAAGATTCAAAAGAGAGAGGCAGATCTGGGAACTAACGGGCAAGGCCCTTGAGGCTCACTACTGAGTGGAAGAGTGAACTGCAGGAAGAGGCATAGTGCATGATCCAGTTTATGTGAGAAAGCCACCCAACCCCAGACAAAGCCAGCCTGCGGTTTCTACATGTAGGTATGAGCATTCACAGAAAAGGCTGGCGGGGTGGGCTGACTTCAGTGGGCTCCTTTATCACCTCTCGGGAGAGGGGCCAGCATTACAGGGAATGCTCAGCGGGAGCTTTGGTCTTATCTGAAATGTTCCAACTTTTTTTACAAGGAAATAAATACATGTATTTATTAAATAATTAAAGTAAATTGAAATAGTTATCCTTTCTGCACTTTTGGGGCTTTGGGGGTGTCCTCCACACTTTCTTTTCTGCTCACTGAAGACATGTATTGCCTTTCTGTTGTTAACGGTGCTAGTTTTTTAAAAATGTGTTTTTATTGATTTTAGAGATAGAGGAAGGGAGAGGGAGAGAGAGAGAGAAACATCAATGAGAGAGAAACTATCGGCTGCTTCCTTCACACCCTCTACTGGGGATCAAATCCGAAATCTGGGCATGTGCCCTGACTGGGAATCGAACCAGTGACCTCCTGGTTCATAGGTTGATGCTCAACCACTGAGTCACGCTGGCCGGGCTTAACATTGCTAGTTTTTAACATAACTAGCAAGAAAACACTTTTCTTTCTCATGGTACTGCATCTCTCCAGAAGCATGTGTTCAGGTCCACCCGGTTTTCAAAGCATTTGTTCATTTGTGCATGTTTGCATGTGACTTAAGATTCAAATGGGACAAAAGGATTTAAGTAAAGTCTTTCTCCCACCTCTGTTCTTGGCCCTCCCTCTTCCCTTCCCCAGGGTGTTGGGAATCCTTCCAGAAAGTGTCTACATTGTGGAGATATATACGTGTTAACATTTCCCACGTGAATGGGAGAGTATTTATGCTTATTTATCAACATGTTTTGGAGACGGTTCTGTATTGGTGCACAGCACGCTTCCTCATCTCATGTTCTACCTGCATAGAGTTTTGGGGGGCGGGGGTGTGGACTCCCATGTATGAGTCTCCTACTGATGGACCCTCAGAGTGTTTGCATCTCTTGCCATTGCACACTGAACGGTAAGAAATGTTCCCTTACCGTTCACCAGCTGTTTCACCCCGTGCGCCACAACAGTTTTTAAAACATGCAACACCTGACTCTTTAGTCAGGGGCACTGACCTCTTTTCCCTTAGATTGTTGAATAAAAAAGTGACAACAGCCAACACAATAGCCATTCGGTGTGAATGAATCAAAATTATACTCTTTCTTGTTGTCACATTGGCAAAAATACATATTTTTGGTGTGCTGAAGAATTTCAGTAGTTTATGTGCCCTAAGGCTATGGTCAGCAAACTGCGGCTCACGAGCCACATGCGGCTCTTTGGCCCCTTGAGTGTGGCTCTTCCTAAGCCTTAGGAGAACCCTCATTAAGTGAATCACAATGTACCTGTCTATATAGTTTAAGTTTAAAAAATTTGGCTCTCAAAAGAAATTTCAGTCGTTGTATTGTTGATATTTGGCTCTGTTGACTAATGAGTTTGCCGACCACTGGGCTAAGGGGAAAAGGATGGAAAATTGCTGCTCCGCACAGTCCTTGTGCACAGGACGTGGTGTCTGTGGGGTGAGTCCTGGAAGTGGACTTGTTGGGTCCAAGGACACGAGCAGTGGAGATGTACATGCATGCAGCCCACAGGCCCCCATGAAGTGGCCCCAGTGCGTGTCCCCCTCCTTTAGCGTATGGAGTTGGATGGGGCTCAGGCGGGGCGGGGACCGTGGGAGATTCTTCTGTCTTCCTGGCGGCAGTGCCTCTGAGACGCGTCCTCCTGTGTCTTTGCAGAGCAAGCTGGTGAAGTACTTCAGCCGGCAGCTGTCCTGCAAGAAGAAGGTGGCCCTGCAGGAGCGCAACGCCGAGCTGGACGGCTTCCCCCAGCTCCGGCACTGGTTCCGCATCGTCGACGTGCGCAAGGAAGTCCTGGAGGTGACCGGCGGCGGCCCCTGCCCTCTGCTTCTTCCTGGCCAGCAGCCAGTCCCTTGGGTAACGGGGTTTTGGCTGTGCCTGACACATAGTAGGCCCTCAGTAAATATGGATTGGATGAAGGCATCAGAGACCCTCTGTGAATGGGCCATTGCAGCTCTGCCACTCATTAACTAGTCACTTTACCTCAGAGCTTCCTGCTGGGATGGACATATTTAATGTCTATGCTAAGTCCCTTGCAGTGGCCACCAGCCACGGGTAGCTCTCGAGGACTTGAATTGTGGTTAGTGCGTGTGGCTGAGGAACTGAACTTCCAGTCATATTTAATGTTAATCCCTGTGGCAGGGACCATCGTCTTGGACACCACAGTCTCAGGGTGTCAGTTTTCTCATCTGTTAAATGGGGTGATGACTGTCTCCTCTTCTGAAGTGGCTGGCGTGTAGAATACGATGATCCCGATAAAATGTCCAGCTCGTACTTAGGCACCGACCAGCAATCGGTTGAGGTCAGCTCATTATTGTTATTGTTGTTGCAAACTTTGGAAGCAGCAGGTTCTCCAATGGCAAAACAGAGCCAGCTCGTGCTGTCTGTGTCCGCCCTCAAGGAGTGGAGCACATGGTTACAGTCCCTAGGATGGTGGGGTTTCCTTGCCTTCTTGGATCCTGAGTCATCACTGTTTCCAGCATCTGGGCTGAGCCTTTCTGGATGAAACCAGCTCACCTCAAATCTTTGGTGCCTGGCATTGTGCAGAGGGCTTTCCATGCAGCATCTCAAGTGTCGAGATTGTTCAAATCCTTCCAACAACCTTTTGACGTAGTTACAAGTATCACCCCATTATGCAGAGCAGTAAACCAAGGCTCAGAGAGGAAGGGACTCATTTCACTAGTGAGTGGGTGGGGTTGGCGGAGATGGAAAGCACTGTCTTTCCCCCATTCTCCGGTTGCCAGGGCCTCCCTGACCTGGGGAGGAAAGGGGCGCCTCCCTACCTGCAGGGCATGTACCATTTTGTAAGGGGCTCCCTACTTCCTCCTTGAAGTGGCCTGGAAGATCCTCTTCCACCGTTTGTCTTTTTCAGACCTTGCCTAGATGTGATCTTGCCCGAACCCACCAGATCCAATAATCCTGGGCCAGACGCAACCCCCCCGCCCCTTCCTCCACCCCCATCTCACATGCACACCAGACGGGGTATGAGCCGCGGTTTCTTTAATTCATTCCCAGGCTGGCAGTTTTGTGTGAATATCCTTAATGGGAACAGCCCCGTGTAAGTACAAACAGTGCATTCTATTTGCATGGCCCAGTGCACTTTTCAGAAGCGTTTGGGACCATTTATTTATCAAACAGGACAAATTAGGTAGAGACAGACCTTCTACCAAGGGTTGAAAATGATGGCCTGAAGCGGTATCTGATGCACAGACATTTTTTTGCTTGGCTGATGTGTTCAAATTTTTTTTGAGCCAGTATTTAAAAGTTGAAAGCGTTTGCATAAAACCCCAGATCTCTGCCTTCTCTTGAAAAATTGGAGTTGCTTACCACACTGAAATGAATTCCTGTTGGGTGGCAGTGAACTGAATTCTGCTCCCCATTTGGGCCCTGCAGGCTCCCAAGCTTCACAGCTTTGCTCATTTTGATTCCCCTTGCCTGCAGGTACCCAAGCTCTGGTTCTTACCTTAATCAGTGAGAATCATGAGCCCAAGGCCACCAGCCAGGGGTGAGGACAGCTGGGTCCCAGCTCTCTGTCTGTAGCTCACATGTGTGTACCCCAAAGGGCCCCTTTCTCTGGAGGAGCTACAAGTACAGAGAAAGCTACTAGGACAGACTGTCTGGGTTCAAACTTACTGTGTGACTTTGGGCCGGTGTTCTAACCTCTCTGAATTTTAGTGTCCTAGTTATAGACTAATGATGATGATGAAAGTACCTACGTTATGTGGTCTGCCTTTTTTAAAAAAAAATCCATGAAAAGCACTAAAAATAGTGCTACATTCATTTCTGTTATTGTTATTATTATTATTATTATTATTATTATTAATTATTTATCCAACAGAAGTCCATCTGCTCTTTTGGCCCAGGTTTGTCAAGGCTTTCTCCATTTTTAGTATCATTACTCCTGTGATGTGTGTGTGTGTCCTTAAACCTCAGTGTAAATTGAATATTTTGGGAGGTAAGTTACAAGATTAAAATGCAAAAGTGTATCCTGCAACAAAGAGGATAATTCTTTTATGTTGGGAAATATCCCTTCTAAATATGAGTCATTTTGTACTTTCAGATTCTGGTCGGTGACCTTTCATAAAGTGGGGCTTACCTGCAAGATGTTCCTGTTTGAGAGAGCCTCTAAGCCACTCAGTTATTGCTCTCTCTGTCCCCTGCCCTGGCGAGTTTGATAGGCACCAGTTGGGTTTCATGGCTTTTGCATGCATCTTTTTTGGGTAGAATTTTAGTGCTATACACTTTTCCTCTTCTTGGTTGCTAGTTTAGTGTGTGTGTGTGTGTGTGTGTGTGTGTGTGTAGGGGGAAAATGTCTGATTTTGTTGTAATACACAGATCTGGCCACAAGAGGGCACACGCATGCTGTGTATTGACCTAGATAGAATCTCCATCCTCAATTATCTGAAACTCTTATTTGAATAACAACAACAAATAACCAATGGACACAGACACCAGGGGGATGAGGGCATGAATGGGGCGGGGGAGGGGAATGGGGAGGATGAGGACACATGTAATGCCTTAATCAATAAAAATAACGATAATAAATGTAAAAACATTGGATACCATTTAGTGCTATAAAATGAAGACTCTTTTTTATAGATGTGTAAATATGGAAGCTTGACAGATTTCAAGCTGTACCCATATGATAGTGTCTAGAGCAGGGGTGGGCAAACTTTTTGACTCAAGGGCCACAATGGGTTCTTAAACTGGACCGGAGGGCCGGAACAAAAGCATGGATGGAGTGTTTGTGTGAACTAATATAAATTCAAAGTAAACATCATTACATAAAAGGGTACGGTCTTTTTTTTCAATAGTTTTATTCATTTCAAATTGGCTGGATCCGGCCCGCGGGCCTTAGTTTGCCCACGGCTGGTCTAGGGACACAACCTTTCTGGAAGGAGGGATGGTTACTGGTGGCGGTCAAGGGTCACCTGCCTAAGACTATCAGAGAGTGGAGGACAGCCATCAGGAGACTTGGGCTGTCTGCTCTGGGTTCACCCTGAATTTGGGACAAGTCACTACTGTAGGAGCTGAGCAGGAGGCACGGAGGGCCTCCAAAGATAAATGCATTAGAGTCTCGATCATAAGGAATTTAGAAGCTGCATGGGGACACAGATAAGGAATAAACTGCAGCTTTTATGGAGCCATGTGCTAAGCACACGTGCTTCCCTGCACAGTATGTGCATTTAAGATTCTCATTTTGGGTGAGTAAAGTGAGCCCTAGATGGGTTAAATGATTTGCTTGAGGTCATCTAGCTAATGAGTGGCATAGCTGAGAGAAAACCCAAGCCTGTCTGAGGCCCAAATCAAAGACCCAACTACACCAAGGAGCCATTCACACAGTGCGGGGTGTTCAGCTAGGTACCACTAGAGGGCAGTGTGGAGGCTCAGACCTCATTCCTCCACTCTAGGCACTTGACGTCTGCATACTCTTCCCTCCCTAGGAAATCACCCCAGGCCAGCTGAGCCTGGAGGACCTCTTGGAGATGACGGATGAGCAGGTGTGTGAAACCGTGGAGAAATACGGAGCCAACCAGGAGGAATGTGCCCGCCTCAATGCCTCCCTCTCCTGCCTCCGGAACGTGCACTTGTCAGGTGAGCAGGCTGGACGTCTGCCACAGGGCCTCCAGGTTCCTGTGACCTCAGCCGCAGGCCTGGAGGAGACAGAATCAACTCTGGGTGGTAAATGCCGCAGGCGAACAGAGGAGAGGCCTGGGACTCGAAAGTGGTTAGCGCAGCTTCTGGGAACTTGGCTCCAAAGGAGACCTTCGGAGGTTGTGGGACATTTGGTTCTGGAAAATTAGGGTCCAGGTACTGGAAGTACGAGATGTGTGTAGGAGACCAGAATCGTTTCACCTTACACATTCTGAAGTGTTGTCGTAATTTGGGTCAACATCTACCTTCTTATTTTTTTACATAAACATTATACATTCTTTATAAAATAACTCAGAAAACATAAAAATAATAATAACTACCCTAAGCATCACTCTCTAGGGACCTACTGTTGTCATTTTGGTATAGTTTTTGGTATACTTCTTCCAGAACAATAAGTATGTGTATACTACCTTTAAGCAATAGAATTAGGATTATTTATCCATATTATTTTGAAACCCGTTGTGTTTTCTTTAAAATCTAACAAAATAACCTCTGTGACATCCCAGTTTGGGATCCACATATATCGTCCTATTTCTTTGATCTTTCGTATAAATTATTCAAATTCCCATCTGCCTCCTTTTTTTAGCAGGACAGCAGATACCATCCTCTTAAGGCCTCCTGCTTCTCTCTAGCTTTGTGATTTTTCCACAAACTCTGCGGTCTTTTCCGTGTTATGGGATCAGCTCTGCAAACATCCGCCAAAAAGTGTTATTGGTCCATCTGTGTGGTTGTTTCAGTTCCCACCACAAGGTGCCACTGTTGTACATGAGCTGGGCACAGTCAGGCAGAAAGTTATAACCACAGATGCCCTTGCTGGATTCAACAGGCAATCTTCAACAAGTATTTATTGAGTGACTACTTTGTGCCAGTTGGGCTGAGGATGCATCAGTGAACAAAACAGAGCTTATCTGAAACAGGTCATTGGCCCAGATCCTCTCCCCTCCAGCCCTGCATGCTCTTTTATATTCTTTTTTGCTAGCAGATCCTGATCAGGGCTGTGATCAGCATCAACAGAGACCATGAATTGGAGAATGACTTGTTCTTGAAGGATGCTTGTTAGCACCCCTGGTCTCTACCCACTAGATACCAGTAACATCCCTCTCCCATTCATGACAAACAGAAATGTCTCTGGGTATTTGCAAATGTTCTCAGGGGAAGGAGGTGTTGCGGTAGAATCACCCCTGGTTAAACAGTGATAAAGGTCATGTTATTCCTTACTCTAGCACAATGCTGTTGACTCACCTAACATTTGCATGGCTAAGAGTGGCCTGTCAATCATGCAATACAGACAAAACCTGCTTCAGGGTGACTTCTCTCTACCTACAGTGAGAAGCAGCTCGTAGTTAGTGCGCCATTAAGAAATGGTGCCTGCCGAAACCGGTTTGGCTCAGTGGATAGAGCGTCAGCCTGCAGACTGAAAGGTCCCAGGTTCGATTCCGGTCAAGGGCATGTACCTGGGTTGTGGGCACATCCCCAGTAGGGGGTGTGCAGGAGGCAGCTGATCGATGTTTCTCTCTCATCGATGTTTCTGACTCTCTATCTCTCTCCCTTCCTCTCTGTAAAAAATCAATAAAATATATTAAAAAAAAAGAAATGGTGCCTAATTACAAGGCTGTATCATACACATCTTTGTCAATACATGTTAAGGCCTGAATACTGTTACCATTTATCCAACCACTGCTGTCATTGGACATTTAACTCTGAGTGTTACCTTTGGGTTCCTCCTTTAGTGAGACTGCATAGGAGTGTGGTTCCTGCAGCAAAAAATTTATGTATTTTAAGATTTCTGGTGGACATTGCCATGTTTGCCTTCCAAAAAGTTTGTACCGATTTATACCTCTTTTGCCCCCTTCCCCTGCCCCCCACAGTGCATGAGAGTGAGCATGTGAGTTTAGGTTCTTCATTGCTTTTCAGAGTTCATAGCTCCTCATCAGAATTGGGCTACTGAGTGTGGCAGAGTCCTCATAAGTGGAGCTGGACTCCAGTTCTGCCTGAGACAGGCCTTTCTGCCAGCCCTCTGTGGGCTGCGCAGCCACCCCTGTGACATCCTGGGCTGGGTGAGACTGAGAGAGCCTCTGATCTGGTGTTTTTCAAACTTTTTTGATCAAGACACACAGTAATCAAAACATTGCCCGGCCGGTGTGGCTCAGTGGTTGAGTGTTGACCTATGAACCAGGGGTTGATGTTTCGATTCCCGGTCAGGGCACATGCCTGGGTTGTGGGCTTGATCCCCAGTAGTGGGTGTGCAGGAGGCAGCCAGTCAATGATTCTCTGTCATCATTGATGTTTCTATCTCTCTCCCTCCCTTTTTTATCAATAAAAATCTAAAAAAGACACAATAACAAATGCTTTATATTGCAACCTTGTACACACACATTATACACAAATACATGAATATACACATACACAACTGAAATGAGTTTCGTGAAACAGTACCAATTCTTACTATGCACAATATTTTACATTCCTTTCTATTTTATTCTATATCATTTACCAAATGCTGCAAAGGACCTGCCACTTCCATTTCACCCCTCACTGTGGGTTGAGAAACGCCAGTCTCCTTGATCCTCTTGCCTCTAGGCCAGCTCTTCCCAAGCAGCTGAGCTTCCATCAACCGTGTCCTGCCTCCGATGCCAGCCTTCAAGCCACTGGGCCCTTGAGAGCAGGGCCAGGGGTTGCGCTGGGCAACAAGGGCAGCTGGCAGGGAAGCGCAGCTCAGCACACAGCTCTCAGTGTCCTGACGTCACGCTCTGCCTCTGTATGTGTCCGTATCACTCTCCACATGTTCATGTTAGCCTTTGGGCGGAGTGATTTCTTTTAACGGATACCTCCCCCCCGCCCCCCCCCGTAGGGTGTAGGCTGCAGGAGGGCAGGGATCTACCTGTTTCTGCTCACCATTTTATTCGCAGCCAGACATCCCCAGCTCAGTATCTGGCACGCTGTAAGGACTGAATACATATTTCTCTTTAAAAAAACATTTTAATTGATTCTAGAGAGAGGAAGGGAGAGAGAGAGAGAGAGAGAGAGAGAGAGAGAGAGAGAGAGAGAAATCGATAAGAGAGAAACATTGATTGGCTGCCTCCTGACACTCACTGTGTACCTGAAACTCACCAGCGGCTTCACATACATAGTCTTTCCCATGGGTTGCAAAGCACCTTGGGATTTGGCTTCTAATTGGAACCCTGCTGTTTACATTCCCCCCTCCAACCTCAATGTCGTACAGATCTACTAATTACTTGGAATTTTCTAGATCACGCATGATTTCACTTCTTGGTACTCAACCCACTGCCTAGAATTTCCTCCCATCTGTGTCCTCCCCATGAGTCCTGCTTTTTCTCAAGCCCCTGACTCAAGGCCTCTCCACTTTGTTGGATGAATGAATGAATGAATGAATGAATGCTTCTGTTACCAGCTGCTCCTGCCTTAGACGGATTGGCACTCTTCTTGGTCTTACTCCTTCATCTGCTTGTGACCTCCCCAAGGACAGGTGCAGTATGCACCTCCCTCTGTTCCTAGCACCTCCTCCAGGTTATATTTGTTGAAGAAAGTGCGGGAAAGCTGTACGATGTGTTTGCTACTCTTGTCCACCAGGGGGATGCAACGAGCCATTCTCTACTGATCCTCCTTGCCTTAAATTCTCTTCTTCCCTCAAAAATTATCGTTGGTTCCTTGAAGCTTCTAAATGGTCCCATTATTTCCTGCCTTTCCCCTTATCCAATATTTTATCCCAAACTAGAGAATAAACTAGTTCTTGACTCTTGCTTCTTACTATATTTTTTTCATCTCGGTCTCCCCAGCTCTCAGCTGGGGTTTCCTACAGTGATGAAATTAGGTACTTTCAATTTTAGTGTGTAGTGGGGACTCAATGCATGTTTGTTAAATGACTGAAGGGATACAGGTTGTATTGAGAAACTCATGGAGACAAAAAAGCTTTGTACCTGACCAAGAATATGTGTAATTTCTCTCTCTCGCCCTCTCTCCACCTCCCGTCCCTGTCCCTTTCCTTCTCTCCCTCTTTTCTCCCTCTCTCCCTTCCTTTCTTTCTTTTCTTCCTCCCTCTCTCCCTCCCTCCCTCCCTCTCCCTCCCTCTCCCTCTCTTCTCTTCTCTTCTCTTCTCTTCTCTTCCCTTCCCTTCTCTTCCCTCCTCTCCTCTCCTCTCCTCTCCTCTCCTATCCTCTCATCTCCTCTCCTCTCCTCTCCTCTCCTCTCCTCTCCTCTCCTAGGATAGGGGAGACTTTATTTCATAGTTGTGAATCTAACTTAGTTTTCTCCTTGGATTTTGGGGTTATCTTTATTTCCCAGTGTCCAAGATGCCCCAAAGGTAGGGAAGTTTAACCTTTTGTTTCTTAGCTTGTTAGATAAGCTTTAACCTCACACCAAAGAATACTTAATTATTCCATTAGCAAGCCCAAGGGACCCAAAGCCAGAGTCTCTTAATTTTCCTTATATCAGCTGTGGCCTGAAATAAAAACAACAACATTCCCTCATTCATCAAAATGTATTGAATGCCTCCTATATGTTAAGCACCTTATCACTATCACCACCTTCATCACCATCACCACCTTCATCACCATCACCAAGATCACCATCAGCATCATCACCATCACCATCACCACCTTCATCACCAACATCACCATCAGCATCTTCACCAGGGTCCTCTAGCCTTTCGCTGCCCCGTCTCGCTTTCCTCCATCCTCTTCCTGTCCCTCTCTTTCTTTTCTTTTAAAAAAAATATATTTTATTGATTTTTTACAGAGAGGAGGGAGAAGGATAGAGAGTTAGAAACATCGATGAGAGAGAAACACCGATCAGCTGCCTCCTGCACCCCCCCTACTGGGGATGTGCCTGCAACCAAGGTACATGCCCTTGACCGGAATCGAACCTGGGACCCTTGAGTCTGCAGGCTGACGCTCTATCCACTGAGCCAAACCGGTCAGGGC